CATCATTTATTCATCATTTATTCATCATTTATTCATCATTTATTCATCATTTATTCATCATTTATTCATCATTTATTCATCATTTATTCATCATTTATTCATCATTTATTCATCATTTATTCATCATTTATTCATCATTTATTCATCATTTATTCATCATTTATTCATCATTTATTCATCATTTATTCATCATTTATTCATCATTTATTCATCATTTATTCATCATTTATTCATCTTTTATTCATCATTTATTCATCATTTATTCATCATTTATTCATCATTTATTCATCATTTATTCATCATTTATTCATCATTTATTCATCATTTATTCATCATTTATTCATCATTTATTCATCATTTATTCATCATTTATTCATCATTTATTCATCATTTATTCATCATTTATTCATCATTTATTCATCATTTATTCATCACTTATTCATCATTTATTCATCATTTATTTATCATTTATTCATCATTTATTCATCATTTATTCATCATTTATTCATCATTTATTCATCATTTATTCATCATTTATTCATCATTTATTCATCATTTATTCATTTATTTATTCATTTATTTATTACTTAATTCGATTAATCGTTCAATCGTTTTTTCCTTTATTCGTTTATTCGTTTAATCTTTTTTTTATTTCATAACCCCCTCTACAAACCCACCCAACCAACCATTCCCCCACTCCCCATTCACTCGGTCCCTAACTCACTCACTCACTCACTCACTCACTCACTCACTCACTCACTCACTCACTCACTCACTCACTCACTCACTCACTCACTCACTCACTCACTCACTCACTCACTCACTCACTCACTCACTCACTCACTCACTCACTCACTCACTCACTCACTCACTCACTCACTCACTCACTCACTCACTCACTCACTCACTCACTCACTCACTCACTCACTCACTCACTCACTCACTCACTCACTCACTCACTCACTCACTCACTCACTCACTCACTCACTCACTCACTCACTCACTCACTCACTCACTCACTCACTCACTCACTCACTCACTCACTCACTCACTCACTCACTCACTCACTCACTCACTCACTCACTCACTCACTCACTCACTCACTCACTCACTCACTCACGCACGCACGCACGCACGCACGCACTCACTCACTCACTCGCTCACACGCTCACACGCTCACACGCTCACACGCTCACACGCTCACACGCTCACACGCTCACTCACTCACTCACTCACTCACTCACTCACTCACTCACTCACTCACTCACTCACTCACTCACTCACTCACTCACTCACTCACTCACTCACTCACTCACTCACGCACGCACGCACGCACGCACGCACTCACTCACTCACTCGCTCACACGCTCACACGCTCACACGCTCACACGCTCACACGCTCACTCGCTCACACGCTCACTCGCTCACACGCTCACTCACTCACTCACTCACTCACTCACTCACTCACTCACTCACTCACTCACTCACTCACTCACTCACTCACTCACTCACGCACTAACTCACGCACTCACTCACTCACTCACTCACTCACTCACTCACTCACTCACTCACTCAATTATTTACTTAATCACAGGCCATCTACAGAATTCGATTGATCATCCTACGAAACTTTTAATAAGATATAATAAAGCCGTCCTCAGATCACTATAAAATAGACTTAATGATACAATAATAGTTCTCAGTCGTTGTTATATTATAAATCAATGACTTGAAAGAGGGCTTTTTAATACTTTAATAAACATTGCATCGAAAATAAACAGCAAGAAATTGTTATTTTGTTTTGTAGAATGTTGCTGGTTTTAACAAAGCTATAGATGTGCTAAGCTAGGCCTCCTACTCAGGTGGCCAATATATTAACCGATGTGATAGGCTAGGCCTCAAACTTACTGGCCGATGTAGTGATGGATGTGCTAGGCTAGGCCTCCTACTGAAAACTTTTCAACGTTGCAAGCCAACCAGTTCTATTTATCTGTTGCTCGCTTTTTACTGACCCTCTGATATGTAGATTTGTAAAATTTGTATGTGTTTTCATCCCAATCCACTTCGGTGGACTGTGTATTTTAATGTCACTCCCTTACCTTTTTGTCAAGTGGCGTCAACTTATATGGATCCACCTAGAAAAATCATTGAGGGGCCTAATTCTAACAGTAATTAATTCACTTATAATATTAACGATTTTTATCTATGGTAGGTTATTAATACGGCTGGATGTGGCATTGTTTTCTCTATCGCTAGCAGGTATACGTCATGGTGTCAACATTTTCATAATTCACCTGAAGTAATTAAAAATAATTTTTAAAAAACATGAAATTTTTACCGCACTGGTTTTTTTTTACAATTTTTTTACAAATAGTTTTTTAAGTTTATTTCTATATTTTACAATTTTAAAGATTTAAAGCCTTTTAAATACTTGTCCATGTCTGACACATGAAAGTAAATATTTAACCGCAAAAAAAAAGGGTTGAAAACAATTTTGGTTGTCATGGAAAAAACTCCACCATTTTGAATTTTTCGGTACTTTTAAAAATGCTAAGGCTTTTTTATTTACACACTTAAAGCAATCAAATTTAAACTGCTTATATTTCAATATATTACATTAAAACTACCGAGGAACAAGGGAAGTTACCTAATCTAGTATTTAAAATATATTTTTGTTGTTCTTTCCCCTGAATCAGTCGTCACATTGTCGCAACATGGTCTCTAAAGGGTCTAGTCTTCTATAGATTATCAGTGGAAGTTGGTTATTTTACTAAACTTAGAATTCTGAAGTGCTAAGTAAAAAAATCAAATTAAATCGTCCTCCACAAAACTGTTAATTTTATCTGAAAAATTATTCAAACAATCTCTCTATATCTGTTGCAGACCAGACTACGATGTTGCCGTCCGGTTGCTTAGTCGCCGGCCGAATACGTTGCTGACACTGGTTCGGGCACTAGCCAATAAGGCCGTCGTTGTCTAGGGGTATTTAATTATTCTACCCGAGTCAGCTACAGCGAAGTAATCAACGGAACAGGAGACCTTCTTAGTTTGTGCTGTTTATTAATGTGCTGAATGCCTGTTCTGCTGAGCGAGGCTTCCCCTAACCGCTAACGTCGGGAGCGCTTGTGCGAGAGAGAGAGAGAGAGAGAGACTAACTAACCTGCCTGTATTTATACCCCTGTCTTAACCCCCTAGCTGTTCCCACGGGACAATGAGCTCAGAACATGTGACCTAACAAATTATCCCCCCTGGCGCTAACAACCCTGGCTACTGGTCAGTATAAAGACTACTATTGTCCTGTCAGAGCGGTCAGTCTCCTTTGAACGTGTCACCTACTGTCCATCCCTACTGTGTACTCTGTAATTATCTAGTGAATAGGTGTTTGATCCATTGAAAAACAGCAATATGTTAAGTAAAGCAAGGTATTTTGAACAAAGCCTTTATTTTATAGTCTAAATGCACGTTTTCCTAATGTTTGTATTAATCACAATAGATTAAAATTCGATCATTAATGCCCTCAGTATGTTGGCGTTTAAGTTTAAATATAAAGTAAAGAATCCTGTTCAGACATGGCAATCCACTGGGCAGATAAGGTAGATTTCAAAAGTTTCATATGGGGTCGGCGTAGTCGAGTCGGTAAAGCTCATGGTTGCTAAACCGTAAAGTCTCGAGTTCGAACCCACAGCCAGATGAGGCTCGTTAGCTGGGGACAGCCACTCCTCTCTAGGAGAGACAACTCCAAAATTAAACAACTGCTACCTTGTAGTTTGTTCTTGGTTGGACAAAGGCTATGGAAGAAAAGCAGGCTGAAATCGGAGTCAATGGCCTCAATCGAGCATAACCAGTTGATTCGTAATCCTTAATTGTGATGGAAGCATGGTCGAGTCGGCAAAGCTCATGGTTGATAAATTCGAACAAAGTCTCGAGTTCAAACCCACTGGCAGATAAATCTCGATCCCCTTCAACACTAATAATTAAGAACGAAGAAGAAGAAGAAGAAGAAGAAGAAATGTTTCTTGACCTCGGCAGATGAAGGGAACTTGTGATAAGCAGTAATGTTTACTTTTATGTATATCATCCTAATTAATTAGCAGACAAGTTACAGTCCTTCACATATATCTTAAATGCCAGTATTCAAACAGTCAATTAAACGCGAATAAATAAATATAAACATTATTATCTTCAACTTCAAATTAGAAAATTAGATTCTGCATTCAATCCTAATACTTTCATTTTATAATAAAACTAGTTCGGAATGCAAAGCGACTTGTTATGTCATTTAAGGATCACAAATTAATAGTGTTGCGTAATAAAGTCAGCTGAGATGAGACTTTAATGTTAATTTTATATACAGCTGCGTTACCAAGTCGATGTAAACTGAAGTTCAAACACTAAAGTTTTGTTCTCTTAACTACTTTTACAATTATTTCTAATTACTGATATTTTTCTTCGTGATATTTTACTTAAGGGTTACACATTACTTTATACAGCAACTCCGTTACGTTTACGATACCGTGTCGTGCTAAGTGTTTGATAAAAGTTAACTTCGTAAAACATATTTAAAGTGTGGCAAGTCGACTTTGCGTTATAAAAGATTTCAAACTTGATAGAATTGTAACCTGTACACGCGAACACACCCAGTCATAGACGTAAGATACACAGACGCACGTAGGCATACACACTCAAGCAAACATAGGAAGACATACACTACTAAATATTTTTACATCAACACAGTCACACATGTTAACTCATACTGTATGAAAGTAAAACAAAAAAATTATTAGTTCTGAAGAAAATTTATTTTGAAAGAAATTATTGTTGATAAGAAAAAAAACAATTAGACCCACATATCTTATTCGTAAAGAGAGAGGAAAATGTGTGTTATTGTGTTAAAGTTTAATTTAAAATATAATTTAAAATTAATAACTTTAATTTTAAATTTTTATGAATTTAGAAATAGAAAGTTAAAGAAAAAAATGTAGACAACAGTTAAACTCGTCACATTTTCAAGATGACGTAATCTCAGATGTCCACTTCCTAAGGCGACTCCTCTGTAACGAAATTTACATTACAAATTAATAAGACCTTTTTTTTTACATTTCTTTATACATAATACATACAGTACACTATAGTCAAGAAAAATTCACTGGTGGTCAATAGAACAATGATAAAGTGTGAAATCTGAGCATTTAATTTCGGCATTTAAAAGAGATTTTATGGTCAATGGTTTTCCAACCGCCTTTCATTTTCCTAAGGTCAATAAGATGTTTTAGAGAGTTGATTGGACCGTTTAGCGCATTTTGGGCTGTAATCTTTTGGGTTAGTAGTCGTTTACACTACCATCTTACCACGTCGTTAAACGTTCCATTCAGGATTATGACTTAATATAGGAAATAGGGCTGGTAAGTAGGTCAACAATCAGTTCATGGCTCATGCAGTTTTTATTGAGCCGTAGAACTGGTTGGTGACCTATCCAGTTGTAATGATGTATGCAACATTCTCTTTCAAATTGGAGATATTTTCTTTTGACGTCACCATCTTGGGTCCTGTCACCTTGTTCTGTCCGCATCCCCGTCCACCGCCACGTAACGCTACTGTTTAAACTATATTTCTCAAACACCTGTCTCGTTAAAACCTATCAATGATACTGAATAAATAAAATTGCAATAGCTTCCATAATCCATGTTTTCAAACAGTTGTTTTCGAATTTCAGAACTCAGGCAAATGACGTTCGTTAGCTGGGGACAGCCACTCTTCTAAGAGAGACAACTCCAAAATCAAACAACTGCTGCCTTGTAGTTTGTACTTAGTTAGACAAAGGTTATGGAAGCAAATCCAAAAAGAAAAGCAGGCAGAAATCGGAGTCAATGGCCTCAATGGCGCATAACCAGTTGACACGTATCCTTAATTGTATTGGAGGGGGATCCCTTCCAACACTATAATTAAGAACGAAAACGAAGGAAGGAATATCAGAAATTGAACACTAATCTCTAAAATACCCGATATAAAGTTTGTTTTAACATAGAAACACTACAGTCTACACACAGTTTCAGAATTAAAATTTTCGATTTTTGCATATTTCGGTACTGGTTAATAAATATGTTTTTGTCTTAAATCGGTTAAAGCTATAACAAGGATTTTTGGTACATCATTTATTTTTAACACAATACACGCAATACACCTTCCGAGTAAAATGAAATCACTTGTATGTGTAAAAAAAAAACATCAATAACATAAACAAAACTAAATAAATTTACATCAGCGTACCTCTGCGAAGTTTCGTCTATTAGCCTTTCTTGCAATGCTTTCCTAAATTAAACGCAGAAATTTTAATTTATAACAAATGTGTCCGTTTAAAACAAAATGTCACAAACATTATTTATCTCTTGATAAAATAATTTACAGTGAACAGGTGCATTGATTCAAATGCATTTTAATTAGTATTTATTCTGATTTTAGATGCAATTCATTGCAACTAGGATGTTTAATAACAAGTACATTTTAGTATTATTTTGATAATTATTATAGCAGGTTTAATTAACTAAATTATTTCGAGACATGTTCGCCTGTTTTAAATTATTATAACAAAGTATTTATTGCACCAGCTTATTTGAATTCATTTTAGACATTAGACGCTACGTTAAACATTTAAACATAATTTGAAAAAAAATAATTTAGGCCTACTTGTTGTTCTGGCAGTTGAAGCTGCGTTCGTGGTGTCTTGTTCTGTAGTAGCTGGTTGTGTTGTTGTGTCCGGTCGAACTACAATGTTAGAAATAAAAAAAATGGTCTGTTCTTATTTGTTATTGCAAGCGTCCTCTCACACCGCATACACATGTAAAATGAATGAACGGAATATTCAGCTGCATGTTGTGATCTAAATTGTTGATAATTACTCTAAAGAATTTTATAAAACTTTTTTATAATAATTGTTTATACAGGCACTTGACTAAAGGAAATACTTTACAAAAAAATTTTTTTTTTTAATTTTATGAAAAAAAATGCACTAAAAAGAGAAAATGAATTACTTCATTTATTGATATAATAATTAACTTCTATTTAAATAACTAAATATAAAAGCATGGTTTGATTCTTAAAATCCAGTAAAGGTATACAACATATGTTATATCAAACCATCCTTTTGTTAATGTTTTTTTAAATAGAAGTTTGCTATTATAGATGGTAAGTTATAAGAAGTAAGTATTGAAAAATTTAATAATACTCGTTTCTGTAATCCGATTGCACTAGAAGAACCAGTCCCTTGCTGTTAGGTACCAATATTCCAGAAAATAAAATTAGGTCACTCCAATTTCAATCATTTCTAATTTGTAAATTGTTTTGCCTACAGACAAATCTTTCCCGCTAAAAGTTATAGATGAGCGATAAATATAAATATTTAAAAATAAGGAACCTACTGAATTCGCAGAGAATTGAACCAGCTGTTGGGTCAGATGAATTTGTATCGATTGTATTTTCGGAATCGAAAAATTGCAGTATGCATGTGCCACTGAAAAAAGCATATCCAGCGCAGTACGGCTGTGTAACTGCTCGATGGGCACAATCCTATTTTGGGAAACATGAAGATACACTTACAAATTCACACAAGTAAGCAAGTGTCCTCTGAAACATATAGACTTTATCACAGTTTATCTCAATCAAATAATGAGTCACATTCTTACAAATCTAAAAGCAAATCAAGTAATCAAAAATAATAATCATTTAGAAATACCGCATGCGTAGTTTGTATTGGGTCACCCGCAGTGGTGGAAGGTATATAGACTGGGCAATGTTCTGTAAATAAATAATATATATATATATATATATATATATATATATATATATATATATATATATATATATATATATATATATATATATATATATAAAAGTATATGTATATATATACTGATAAATATATATAAGTATATATATATATATATATATATATATATATATATATATATATATATATATATATATATATATATATATATATATTTATATATATATATATATATATATATATATATATATATATATATATATATATATATATATATATATATACTCATATATATATATACTCATATATATATATATATATATACTTTTATATATATATATATATGTATATATATATATACTTATAAATATATATATATATATATATATATATATATATATATATATATATATATATATATATATATATATATATATATATATATATATATATAAGTATGTATATGAGTGTGTGTATTTTTATATTTAAAAACCAGGACGACAAATTGTATTTTATTGATAAATACTCAATACCAATATTACATTTTGAATTGGCCGGGTTTTTTTTTTACTTTCTCGTATATACGAAGTATAGAGAAAGTATTGTATTTTTACAAATCTCGACGTTTTACACCTAACTGATACGGAAAAACATAATTTTGCAATCTCGTCCGTATGTCTGTATGTCTGTGTGTGTGTGTCTGTGTGTCTGTGTTTAAACACGATTACTTCAGTACCGTTACAGCTAGGTTGATGAAATTTCATATATAAGTATTATATCAAAATCGCATATCCGTATCAACTTTTGAGCGATTTCCGATAATCGGAAGTGGTACTTTTTCTACTTTGAATTTTTCAAAAGCCTATAACTTGAGTACTATTTCAGATAGATAAATGAAATTTCACATATAAGTAAAAGATCTAATTTTCTACCTTCTGTTAAATTTTGAGTAATTTCCGTTGACCGAAAGTAGTAATTTACGCTATTACCGATTTTTAAAAAAACTAATGAACATTTTTAAAGTACTAATAATATTTCGCACTATTATGCACTTTTTAATTTGGCGTTCACTTGGTGTGCAATTCTTTTGTCTACGAGATTTTATTCTATTTTTAAAACTTTAAGTATTTTAAATGGATTAAAAATCATGTCTTTAGCCCGAGTTCCCATCCCCTGTTATCCTAATTTATAAAAGGCCATGTGCGCTCTTCTCTCTCTCTCTCTCTCTCTCTGTCTGTCCGCAAAATATTTTCGCCGGACATCACGTCAGAATCGGCAGCGATATATGGATACCTTTATACGGACTTTTGTTGAAAATAATATGTTAGATGTTTTAAATGTATAACCACAATTTTAGTTAAATAAGAAAAATAAAAATTAAAGGCGTATTCGAATGTAGAGAAACAGTATTATTTATGCAACCGGAAAAGCATTAATATATGTGAAAAAGAACGCATAAAACTGTGACGTCACTATTGCTTATACATTAACTAATGACGTCATCTGCCGTGTTTAGAATGAAAATAAATGAACTATTTCATTCAAATTTGATTTAGATCTACGTACACTATGAAATGTATACAATACAATTTTTCCGGCCTAAACTCATAAAATTTATTTTATGTATTTGGATTCTAGATCTAGAGATTCTAGATCTAGACTAAATCTAAATCTAAATCTACGCAATAACTAGATCTAGACGTAGACGCTAAGATCTAGATTTAGACTCTAACTTCTCTAAAATCAATTCCAAAAATAAATTTCTATATTAGGACTAAACTATTTCAAGACTTATTTATTTTATACAAAATCTTTGTTTGGAACTGGCTAATTTTAGATAAAAAATTAATTTGAAAGAATAGGCATATTCGCGTAAGTTAAGATTTTAAAATACGCGTTTCATTCACCGTATTTTATAAGGTGCCTAAATAGCGGAGATGTTAGTGTACATTAAACCACGCAGGTGGTGCGGGTTCGAGACACAGCAAGTCAACTTGGTTAATGTATTCTTTTTTATTATGCTCGGGCTAAACTTAAAAAAAAATATTCTTTGTCGGGTGTCCGATAGGGCACTTCCCGGCGCCGCAGGCGCTTCAAATTTGGCATGATCTTGCCTTGGTGCGACAGAACACGGGGGCCGGTTGGCCGAAAAGTCTACGATGTGGGGGTCAAAACTGACCTCGACTGACCGGTACCTTATATGAGCTATAAATCGAAAAAAAATGTCCACGGAGGAGCCTCTTCATAACTCTTGAGGTCGTAGACCGACCTTCGGGCGAATTAATTAAGCATTCAAATTCTCAATGTTTTCGAAAGCCTAAGCGAAGCTGGGCAGCATGCCTAGTTTTATATAAGAATATTCGAGAAAGTTTAGGGGAGATCACTCCTGGTTTACTTTTAATAAAAAGCTGGGTTGAAGATTAACATTTCATGAGTTTGGTTCCCATAAGGCATATCTTGTAAAAGATGGTGTAATAGAGAATAATTGTGATAATACCTTCAGTGTTGGTACAAACGGTTAAACTCGACACTGGTCCAACCGAGGAAGTATCGACAGGCGTGGTTAAAATATTCAGTTTACACAGTGGGTCATACCAAAGGTAACCATAACATTTCGGAGTTGACAAACAATTCTGGTAACATTGCTGCCGTGTTGAATTAAATAAAACAAATTTAGCAATGTGTGTGTAAATTTATTTAAGTGATTAAAATGTTATTTAAATATTTCTGAAAATTAAACTGTAAGATATCTTCATCCTTAAGCTTTACGTAGTTTCAATACAGCATTGTTTAGTTAGAATATTAATCGGTGGTCTTGCTGGTCCCATGTCCAAATACAAAAATAGGGTTGGACGTAGGACTTAAAATAAAAAAAAGTTAAAAATAACTGCTTTAAAAACACACATACATTAAACCGACGAGAACTTTGGAATTAAGATTTTTCTCAAATAGAGCCTTGACGTATGGAAGCTTTTAGGAAGTTAGCGAACTAACAAACTCTCTAACGATAGGAAAATTGATGCTAAATATTAAATAGGGCATTCGTTTCGTATTGCTTTTAAAAAATAGTTTACGATGGATTTTAAAAAATGTACAAAAATATTAGTTAAATCATTTTAAGAAAAGTTTTTGCTTTAAACATACGCAAGTTATATACTGTATTATAACTATAGTATCATAATTACTACTGTACACATTCGACTTGTGTATGTGTAATAGTTTTTTAAATTATTTTGTTTCCCTCCCCCAGTCTGTTTGAACCTTACACCTAAGTCTTCTTCTTCGTTCTTAATTTTAGTGTTGGAAGTGATCCCCCTCCAACACAATTAAAGATACGTGTCAACTGGTTATGCGCCATTGAGGCCATTGACTCCGATTTTAGCCTGCTTTTCTTTTTTGGATTTGCTTCCAACCAAGAACAAACTACAAGGTAGCAGTTGATTGATTTTGGAGTTGTCTCTCCTAGAGGAGTGTCTGTCCCCAGCTAACGAGCCTCATCTGCCCGAGGGTTCGAACTCGAGACTTTTCGGTTTAGCAAACATGAGCTTTTACAGACTCGACCACGCCGACCCCTTATACCTAAGTTTTATAGCAGAAAATTTAGAAACCATTGTCTTGTTTTGCAACAAATTCATCCTGAATTAAAATCTACCGAAAGAAAAACAAGGCAAACAGTGAGAGAATGACACCTGCACCATGAAAATAAATAGAAGCAAGATGAGTATTAATATTAACATTAACTAACGTCAGCACTATAAGGAGAAGAAAACTCGAAGAGTGTTGTACCGGAATGGTAATTAGAGACCAAAAAAGGGGTGGGCGTGGTCGAGTCGGTAAAGGTAATGGTTGTTAAGCCGAAAAGTCTCGAGTTCGAACCCTCTGGCAGATAAGGCTCGTTCCCTTCCAACACTTAAAATTAAGAACGAAGAAGAAGAAGAAAAAGAAGAAGAGCCCAAAAGATGACAGAACAGGCAGAAGAAGCTGCACGACAAGGAAATTGGAACACGTTTCGTGATACTGCAAGTTTTTTTTTTATCAGGAAAGAGTAAACTAACCAAGATAGAAATAGTAAAACAAGCTTAGAGCATGTAGGTTATTTTCAATAAGTGGGAAGGAGGTTTTATTGGCTACAGTGGGTTATAAAGATGCTAGGATGTAGGGGGAGCAGTACATGAATAAAGTAATAACAAAAGTAGAATGAAGATAAGAAGTTGATACAAACAATGACATGTATTTTTTTAAACATTAAAAATGTGGCAGTATATTATCTTACGTGGTGACTGGTGTTATCTATTTCTGTAATAGTGATGGCAGTCGCTATGTAACCCACGCAATGATCTAAAATAGATTCACATTATATATATATATATATATATATATATATATATATATATATATATATATATATATATATATATATATATATATATATATATATATACATATTATGTATCTATTCATATATATCCATATTTACATATGTATATATTCATATATATATATATATATATATATATATATATATATATATATATATATATATATATATATATATATATATATATATATATATATATATATATATATATATATATATATATATATATATATATATATATATATATATAAAGCAAAGTGGTCAAGTACCCGATAGGGCACTTCCCAGCGCCGCAGGCGCGTCGAAATTGGCACGATGGTGCCTCGGGGCGATAGAACACGAAAGCCAGTGACG